TCCGCTGGAGGTCTTCGTCCGTTAGCCCGGACCCGTTCTGCCAAGGCAGCGACGCAGCTGCAGCTCCCTGTCCGCTGAACGGCGGTTCAAGACGGCCACGCGGGCCTGCAGCGGCCTGCCGAATGCGTCGCATACCCCTGCGGCCCTCCGTGGCGAGCAGATTAGGCGTGGCTGATTTCAAATGAAGTGATGCTGGTTTATCGCTTCTAATCCCATTCAAAAGTGGTTGTTGGGCTATCCATGACGACATGACGTTGTCAAACGCAGTGTATTCGTAGTGTATTCTCGAAGTGACGTAGTATATTCGTAGTGTTTTCTCGTAGTGACGGAGTGCATTCTCGGATTGCATTATCTTAATATACAAGATGAGATCTGGCTTAAGATGGGGTTTGGCGATCACGTTAAGCTAAATTAACTTTACCATAACATACGTTGCGGTATGATATACAGTCACCAGCACTTAAAGTTTGTCGTGATTCGTGGTAATGCTGACATGTGGTAGTGTACATGCTTGTCGCACTGGGACAGTCGTGCATTTCCGAGAGACAGGTACGCAGGCATGGTAAAGGAGGGCATGAGGCGGCTTCCGGCAAGTACCGGCTGGTGAATGGTAACGATGAGTTGCTCGCGCCAGTGACGTTAGCACGCAGATAAGGATCGCTTGCCCCGCTGAGCCGGATCATGACGTTTGATCGCTTCCCCGCTGAGCCGGTTCATGACATTTAATGGCTTTCCCCGCTAAGCCAGGCCATGACACTTGGGACACGCTCAGTAGGGCTTCTGGCACCGCTGAGCCAAGCGTGCTGTTTGTGGTCGGTTTGTTTCCATATCTGCACATTGGTCACGTTCACTCGTCGTTTCCTGAATACGTGCCTAACCACGGCTGCAACGGCTAGCCATGAGTCATGTAGAGAAGATTCCCACGGCTCTGTGCTGTAATAACAGCCGTTTTAGAATTTCTTGTTTTACTCAAGAAATGTGCGACAGACGGAATGTTTTGCCTGTGACTTGGGATCCATCATCACGGGCCTATTTGTCTGTAAGCCCCGGGTTTGCGTTTCTAAGAAAAAATGGTTTTCTGTTTCGTTTCTACTTTGGTCACAATTCGTAACTTGGAAAGCACTACAACATGCTGTTTGAAAAAGTATGGGCAGGGTAGGCAAAGTTAATTTTTCGACGCATGCAACTGATTTTCTGGTTATTATCGAAAGAGTTAATGTAATGCAATTGCTCTCAAATGGATGCACGGCGACCCAAATGCATGTTTTCTTGAACTGCCTTTTTACCGTAACCAATCATAATAACTATCAATCATACATATCATAATTATAATTGTTTTTTGATGATCATATACATATTGATATACATGATGATGATGATAAATCAATGAATCATAATCATGATTAAATATGTTGACTCACAGATACTTCTATCATTGATTATGTTTATGCAACATCCAACTGATTATCTGTGCATTTTCTATTTTGATGTGGCACTGGCACCTTTGATATGGCACAGCAGCCTGCTATGACAGCGCTCTCCAAGCTCTGAACTTCTGTCTTGGCGTACGGCTCTGGCTCATGAAGGTCTTAAAGTAACGGAGTGTTGCACTTTAACTGCTCCAGACATTTCCCAAGTTGGCCCGCGAAATGTAAGTTTTTGACTAGGTGAACGTAACATTTCGGCTAGAACTATGTCCCGACTCACCATGTATCATATGCCCCAAATTATATGAAATTAAGAGCTGTGAAATGCACGCACTCGATGATCATGAGCTGACCTTCATATGGAACATTAGGGCCTCCAGGGAAGGTTGCTGGGCTGCACGAGTGTTCCGGTGGTTGGGCTACCAAGTGAAGTGTTTTAAATTTTCAACCGTAGGGGTGCCTTACCAGTCAAGGGACGGACCACGTGATAGAAGACATGCACTGTCATTGATT